AACAATGGGAAGAGATTTAAACGTTAATATTCAAGAAGAGTAATCAGAGAGAGAGAAAATGGATTTAAAGTGTCGAAGGTAATTTCCGGTTTATCATGAATTTATCATTCTCTTTGTCATTCTTCCATCTGTCCACAGACATTCAGAATCAAATGTTGTTAAGGGAACCGCACCTACATTCCTCCCTATTCTCCTCTCATCAGGGCTCTTGTACACCTCATCACTCTTTGTACCATGACAATGTTCTTTGTGTCTCCCAGGACATCCACTTAACTGGGATTTGGCAATGTTTCTAGTGATTCCTCCAGTTCTTGATGATTCTTTCTCATCCCCCTTGCTCATCTTCTAATCATAGTTAGGATTTTTCCTATGTATACAGCTATCCAAATTTATACTATAGCTTTAACTTATGTAGATGGTTAATTTGTATTTCCAGGCTACATTACTGTTTTGAACTTTATATCTGTACATTTACCTGTATTAACTGCTTCATAATAATTCACTCTGCCAATGTCTTCTTTAGCTTGCTTTATGTCATTAGCTTGCTAAATATTCTGCCTCCTAACCCCTTGACCCCTGCAATCTATTTTTAAAACAGCAGAGCGATTCTCTTAAAATATAAATGAGATCATGATGCTTCTATGCAAAACCACTCCACTAGCTGCTCATCTAGGTCAAAGTCAAAGGACTTGTGACTTAAAAGATCCAATATGATCAGTCCTCTTACCAATCATCAACTCCGTATTCAACTGGTTTATTTCTTATTATTTTATACCTAGGCATTTGGAACTCCTTGGGCAAGTGCCATGAAAATATGTACCATGCCCCTGTTTCAAAGACATTGAAGATTTATCAAATAAATTTATTTATTTAAATTTTTATTTTATCTAAAAGGGAGAAAGGGAGAAAGAGAACTCCCATCCACTGGTTCACTCCCCAAATGCCAAACAAGAGTGAGTACTAGGCTAGGTTGCAGGCAAAGGCCATGAACTCAATCCATGTCTCCCAAGTGGGTGGCCATGACCCAACTACATAAGCCACCAGCTGCCTTCCCAGAGTACAATTAATAGGAAACTGGAATCCGAAGCAGAGCTGGGACCTGAACCCAGGCATCTTACACTGTGCCAAACGTCTGCCCCTGCGCTTCTAATTCTGTTAACCTAGAGGGCACTTTCCCCTGACATCTGGTTAGCTAAGAGCCCTAGTTTCATTCAAACTCTTACTCCAAAGTTTACCTCACCAACTACTTCTGTGATCAGTCATGAGATTAGTAAAAATTACAACCCTACTTCTTCCTAGTGTGACTCCTGTTCTAGATTTACTTTAGGCTTCTAGAGAACAAGAGTTGGTCTTGATTTTTTACTACTGTAACCCTAGCAGATAACACATCATGTCCTGATGCGTAACTGCTGCTAAGTAAAGTTTGTTAACTGATACATCTGTGGTTTACCCATTCACTCTGCTTCCTCTACTAAGGAATTTCATTTCCTCATGTTTTCCCTTTCACCACTAAATGTTTTTGTTTTCCCTATTCTATTTCCTACAGATTTTGCCTGATAAATCAGTTTAAGAAAATATCCTTCAATATTTTTGTTCCATGTAACCTTCATTTTAATTTCAGAATTTGTGGATTTCTGAGCTTATGGCAGACTCTGATGTAGATACAATGCAGTAGAAAGTATTTATTACTTCTCAAATAATAGCCCATTGACAATCACCTATGTCACTCTGAATGAAATCATCTCTGATGTTTTCTTTGATTCGTAGAACACAGCAAAATAGGAAATAGAATTACTTCTTTGAAACTCTACATGATATGAGGCAACCTCAAAAACCTAAGTTCTCAAGTGCACATAACCCTTCTAGCAGCTGTTTCTCAATAGAAAACAATGTATTGAATAAATGACTGTTTTAATATTGGATTCATTCTGTTCTTTGGAACTGCATTTCATTTAGAAACCCATATTTCATTCATGTTTAATATAGCGGCAACTTGAAAAGACACAATAGGCAGTTTTTAAAAGTTCTATGGAAGATGGCAGGCTTCCTTTCTGGTTGGTTTGTTTATTGATTTATTTAAAAGGTATTAAATAGGGGCCAGTGCCATGGTGTAGTGGGTAAAGCCACCACCTGCAGAGCTGGCATCCCATATGGGTCCCAATTTATGTCCTAGCTGCTCCTCTTCCGATCCAGCTTTCTGCTGCAGCCTGGGAAATCATTAGAAGATGGCCCAAGTCCTTGGGCCCCTGCAACCACATGGGAGAGCTGGAGGAGGCTCCTGGATGGGTCTAGCTCCAGCCATTGTGTCCAACTGGGGATGAACCTGAGGATGGAAGACCTCTCTCTCCCTCTTTCTCATCTCTTCCTCTCCTTCTTTGTGTAACTCTTTCAAATAAATAAATAAATAAATCTTTAAAAAAGGCATTAAATAGAGATTCCAATCATGTGTCCTTTTTACTGATAATAACTGCAAAATATGTATGTGTCTATGTATTTCTGTGCAAGTATGTGTGCAAACACATGTATTCATGTCTGGGTATTGCAGGAGTTGATTATGATAAAGATTTCAGTTACCCCCTTTTATCTATACAATCACAGATGTAGAACAAACCCTTCCTAGAAATAGAGTCAAATCAATTATACAGCTATTCATTTGTATGTCATTTATATATGTGTCAGCATGGACCAATAAAGCTTTTTTAAAATTAAACAAGATATAAATTATAAGTACTTGTCTGTATAAGTGGAATAGGAAAGTAACTGGCCTTTCAGCCTCAGGGAATAGATGAGTTTAGAGCAGCCATCCTTGGGTCCACTAAATAGTTCCCATAAACCTTTGCCTTAATGTTCCGGGATTCCTTACTACTGACCTGACCCTCCAACTCAGGTCTCTATGGTTTCTCTCATTCATTCACCCTAATTGATGTCTATGGGTGAAACATCTAAGCCATCTCTTTCCTCTATAGTCACATTGACGTCCCTAATAGCAGAAGTATACGACAAAGATGAAACTATTCTCAGTGTGTTTAAATCTAACATCAATCATCTCTACATACAGATTATGATAATTACACTGAAACACATCTGAGACCACCTTCATTGCAATCTGCGAAGTTTCCCAACAGCACAGCACAATTGCTGTATTCAGTGACCATCCTTACACAATTTTACAGAACCTCCCTGATGGTGAAGTATGAACATATTTAGAAACATGATGTCCTCATTATAAGGCAAGCATAACACTAAGGAGCAGTGATTTTCTGATTTAAGCATATATCAGAATCATGGAGAGGAATCATTAAAACACAGATTGCTGAGCCTCACCTTCAAATCTACCAGTATGTCTGGAGCCTGAGATTTGTATTTCTAGTAACTTCACAGAGGATATTAATGAGATTGGCCAACACATTACACTTACAGACCCACTATCATGAAGAAATATCAAGTCGTGGTACAATGTGATGACAATTCCTCCTGTGTAACATACTTCATTACCAAGTTATGGTGATTGAAAGAAAAATTGCTTAAGCATGACCTAAATTTATTATAAAAAAAAACTTAAGATTCTATTGATGCTACTCAAATATAAAATATACAACACAAAAATCCAGATACTTATTTTTAAGTTTTACTTTAAATTTACAAATAGCCCTTATAGATTACTATTCATGTTTTCTCTTTAGTTTGGTGAGAAATAACTTGAAGCAGCTAATTTTATTCAAGTTATTCCTCAATAATTGAGATGTTTTTATCTTACTTTTTGATATTTCACTAAATTTTTTCTCTGACCCAGATCTTCCCAAGAGATCAAATGACATGCCCAAACGCACACTACCTTTAGTGTTGTCACTGAAGTACAACACCTCACCCCTCACATCAAATTACATTCCGAATCCTTCCATTTCTACTGGGACTTTTAAATTTAGGTGATCTTGCCAATTTTCATCCCACCTACTCAGCATTTCTCAGTTGCAGGCTGCAATATATCTGACTGATTTTTTTTATCTCTGGTTTATCCTGATTCTTATCAAGTACATTTTATGAGTCTTACATGACCTTTCTGAAGCATGAGGTCAACTATTTCACCTCTTTCTTCAAAAGTATTTCTTTCTGCATTATTGGCTATTTTAAATGAAACATAGGATAATTAAAAACTTTCAACATGGTTGAAAGTTGGGTAAAGCTGCACCTTGGAAGGCATTGCATATGAGCGCAGGTTTGTGTCGTAGCAGCTCCACTTCTGATCCTGCTCCCTGTTAATGATCTGGGAAATGCAGTGGAAGGTAACCCAACTGTTTGGGCCTCTACCACCCACATGGACAACACAGATGAAGCTCCTGGCTTTGGCTTGGCCCAGCCCTGGCTGTTGTGGCCATCTTGGGAAAGACGAAGCAGATACAAGATTCTCTCTTTCTCTCTCTCTCTCTCTCTCTCTTTCGAACTCTCTTTCTTGAACTCTGACTTCCAAATGAGGAAATGAATCTTCCAAAAAAAAAAAAACTCAACAAAACATGAACTTAATATTAATAGTATATTTACAGATGATAGTTGCATGATATGTGCAAGGCTTAGTGCTAAGCTCTGGAGATAAGGTGTTGGAAAAAGATGCTGAGAGTTTCCTCATTGAGAGAGAATGCAATGGAGAAGGGAGACACAAAGCAGATGATCATAAATGAATGATAGCTATCAACAGGGAGGATTAATGCTTTCAATATATGACTTAAATTCTCTATAGTTACATATTTCTTCCTACCTTGTATATATTTCATGTGAGGCATATTAGATTAACTTCCTTTCCATTAAAATGCATATTATTTCTTGCCTTTGTTTATAGCTCTACCTCCATCTGGTATGCTGTTTTTCTACTTCTCCCTTCTGAAATCCCACTCATGTTTTAAGACCCAATTCAAAAGTATTCCTTTTCCCACTAAGTCAGAATTGATTGCTCCATCTTCGGTACTCCTACAGCATATCGAATTTCAATTTGTATAGTGACTTACTTATCAGTCTCTCCCACTAGATGCATCCCAGGAGAGGGCAGAAACTGTGCCTGCCATCACCATCACAGCACCTACACAAAGCATAAATTTAAATCATGTTTGTTGAATAGATGAAAAATACAATTTAAACTCATTTTTCCTTGCCTTGCAAACAAAATAGCAGTTTGAAATTATATATTTCTTATTTTTTAAATCCACTGATATAGAGGAAAAGTAAGCCTTCTTTGCAAAACAAGTTAAAGAACTAAGGTTTGAAAAATATGCTCTCAATTACTCAATAATCAAAATCCTAAGTGATAGCTACTTCTCATTTTTGGTATAGGACATATTAATAAATATGCATTAAACTTTAATTTATATGTTACTAGGCTATACCTGCAACTGAGTTTGGTTTTGTTTCTCTGTAATACATCAGTCACCTAAACTGAAAGTTTCTGCATCTTAACCAGTGATTTAATACTCTCTCATCTAATGAGAAACCCGCAAGCTTTGTCAATCGAACTTCTATAGCAGACATCAGTGGAAAGGACGTACAAATTCTGGAAGATTGATCATAGAAAAAAACATGACTTTACAAAAATGACAAGGCTGTTAGCTAGATCTTCAGCTTAATCTATGTTTTACTAAAAGAAACAGTGTGATCTAAAAACCCATTAGTGCACTGAACATGTTAATTTCAGTGCCTGCCATGACTACAGCTGTTTCTAAGCAAAATAATCATACTCAGTCCTTTATAGGAAGCTGTTTTTGGCATCCATGATGTGTGTGTGTGTTTAACCCATTACAATGCAACTGATTGGGATAGGAGATCTATCTACACCTTCTTGCAGGGCAAAACCTTCTAAACAAATATGGAAAAAAGTTATTAACTGATCCAATCAGGAGTTTGAAATAAGAAGCACAAAAGTTAACTTGAAAGTCAGCTTCAACAGAAAATAGTAGACAAAAGAGAAATCCTTAAGGCATATTAATAGTAAAACAGAAGAATAAAAAATCAAAGAACTCCTGCTGCTAGATCCTAAAGCTGTCGTTTTATTAATGATTATATAGTCCTAATGGGCATTTTATTTTTAAACATAGGCTGGTGGAGCTATAATGTATATGTGGGAAAATTCTTTCTTTTCAGGTGCACAGTTCTGTGAGTTTTCACAGTTGTATACCACCATATAAACTCCAATATGATCAGGATATAGAGTATTTCCATCCGACCCAGAAGCAGGCTTGTTTATTTCCAGTGCTACCACTCTTCTTGAAGTCTGGCCAAATTGAGTCAAAGACATGAGAAATTTGAAGAATCCCCTCACATTCTTCCTATCTTTGTTCAAATGTAGTATCAGCAAAGTCATATGTTACAGAAAGCATGGGGCCACCAGAAGTTAGGAGAGAGCCGATGAAAGATTTTTTCCTGCAGTCTTGAGAGCACATGTCCATGCCTTACATCTTAATTTCAGACTTCTGGATTTAAGAACTCTGATAACATAAATTTCTGCTTTTAAAGTAATCCATTGTTCTGGTACTTTGTTATGGCAGCCCTAGGAAATTAATGCAAAAAAACACATAGTAGAAATAAGTTTAATAAAGAAAAAGAGAATAAAACTTAGAGTTGGGTAATCTGAAAGAGTGCTACTCACGTTGCAGTTATTGAAGGAAAAGCTGGATGAATTTTATTTATTTTGTAATCTGTTGCAGAACAATGTTTCTGTAAGATATAATGAAAATAAACACATTACCAAAAATGAAATAAAAAACACACAGTACAAGTTTCACTATTTGATTCAACTGGTGCAAAAATAAGCTATAATAATTTGTAAATTTTTATTATCAACCGTCATTCTCTTCATAGACTGGTTCTCACAGTTCATGACCTGGAATGGTCATATAATAACACAATCCTTATTGCAAACAATGTTTTTAGGGAAACCTTAGAGAAGTAAAATTCAGTTTTTAATCAATAGATGAAAATTACTCTGCTTAAATTTTATTTTTCTTTTTTATACTTCCCTAGAAAACCTGGGAATACTTACATATGGCATCATATATCTGACTTTGTATATTTTGTAAACAGTATACTTTTGGTGAATATTAAGAACACTTGTAGCAAATGTTTAGTGGTGGGGACTATGTAGCAGCACAGTGATTAAGCAGCTGTGTGGTACACTCACATCACATATCAGAGTACAGATTGGAATCCCAGTTTTTCTGCTTTCATTCCTGCATTCTACCAACATGTACTCTTGGTAGAAATGGATGATGACTCAAGTGCTTGGGTCCCTTCCTGGCCTCCATGTGGGAGAATAACATGCAGTTCTGGGATCCTGGCTTGGCCTAGAGAAGCTGTTACAGACATTTTGGGATGAATCAACAAATAGAGAATCAATCTCTCTCTCTCTCTCTCTAGTCTTTCTCACTCTGCCTTTCAAATACATGATAATGAATCAAAATTATAAAAACATGTAGATGTATGAAAACACAAGAGACCCCAAGTTGATAAAGCAATCTTAAACTATAAAAAAACAAAGCCAGAGGTATCAAAATACCAGATTTTAAGACATATTACAGGGCACTTATAATCCAACAGCCTTGTATTGACACAAAACCAGACATGGAATAGGTTAGAAACCCCAGAAATTAATCCATGCATTTACAACCAACTAGTCCTTGACAAATGACCTAGTATCTCTTCCTGGAGAAAGGACAGTCTCTTCAACAAATTTCACTGGGAAAATTAGATCTCTGCATGCAGAAGTATGAAGCAAGACCCTAAGTTATACCATATAAAAATCAACTCACAATAGATCAAAGATCTAAACTTAACACTTGAAACCATAAACTTACTAGAGGGAAACAGGAAAACTCAGTAATACACATGTGTAAGCAAAGACTTCTTATAAAGACCTGAGAAACACAGGCAGTAAAAGCAAAAATACACAAATGGACAACAGGAGTCACTGTGCACTTACTCCCCATGTAGTCTCTCTGTCCTTAATGTGTTGTACATTGTGATTTAAGGCTATAACTAGTACTCAAACAGTGTTTTTCACTTTGTGTTTCTATGTGGGAGCAAACTGTTGAAATCTTTACTTAATATAGGCTAAACTGATCTTCTGTATATAAAGAGAATTGAAAATGAATTACTTTTAAAATGTGTAACAGTTACAATTAATCTTCTGCTCAAGTACTCTTGGGTCCCTTCTGATATTTCTTTGGGCTATGCCTGCAGCTTACATTTGCTTCTTAAAGGTCTGTAAAATATCTGTCTTCACAATTTTATTATATGGACACTGGAGCTACTTTTGTACAAATGGTGTGGGCGTCTATTTTATCCTCAGGTGCAGGTACTGAAGTAGGAAAGCCTTGCTCTTGTGCTTCCAGTAGGGCCTTAACTCTGGGTCCAGTTTAAACTCCAGAGCTTAGGAACTGGCTGACGCATGGGTTTGATAATCTCATACTGATGTTGTTGCTTTCCATTCTTGTCTTGTTTTCTCCACTTCCTTTCTGGTTTTACATGAAAGCACTTCTGCAATAAGCACTTGCATATGAATCTTCATATTAGGGCCTGCATTTGGAGAATGAGACTTAATAGAAAACAAAGTCACTTGGAATGAAGAAGACCACTAATGAAGTAGTTTTCTAGTTCTAATGTATTCTGACATTAATTTATTCAAATAAGTAAGCTGCTATGACTTGCTGTCAGGGGCTAATAGTGAAAAGATTTACCTAACCATGAATATTTTCAATGGAATTTGAATGCATAGAAATATAAGGGGAGTTTTATTTCTTAATAAACCTTGAGAGTGTTATTCAAGGTAAGATTTCTCTCAGGAGCTAAAGGTTAGCTTTGGTTTTAGAAGTATAATATAAACTAAATTAACGCATTTTAGTTAGCTATGGTGTGGCTCTTTTCACTGGAATTTTGACAGTTTTAACTGTAGCTAGCGTTCTTATGCATAGATATTTGCATTTATTAATTTGCATATATAAATTATTTATATACCATAAATTTAAATAAAGTGTATGTAATATATAAATACAATCAAGTATAGTTTTCAAACATTGAATGTGTGTGTGGGACTGGTGGGGCAAATAATAATTATGAAGCAATTTCCCTTGGACTTATAGAATCAAAGTAGATTACAATGGAGAATGGAGTAAAATCTAATATGATTTATGTGATCTGCAACCAATTTAACTTTTTAACTTTTTCTAACAGGAAGTTCAAGACTCCAATTGCAAATGTCTTATAGTTTTCACTTAATGTAGCCATAATAATATGAATTACTTCTGCCTCTACTCTTAAATGTGCTTATTTAGGAGCAAAAATGATTATATCCTGCTGCACTGCTGGTTATTCTAAAGCTCTGAACTCCTCCAAAAAGTTGAATAGGGACTTAAATTACCAGAACCTACTATATCGATACCTTCCATCATGAAATAAGACTTTGTGAAAAATGTATCAGACATTCAAATTGTTCTTAAAAGCATCTCTTATTTAAAAAGAAGCATTGGATGTAGGGACAATTATTTCATATAATATGAATACAAATTATATATATAAAACAATGAGAGACATTTATAATGTTATAATACATGATTCAGTTCCTTTCAACTATCTCCTAGTGAATGCTCTGTTACTCCTTCCTTATCATGGCACCTGCCATGTGCTTTTGGTTAAAACACATATAAACTAGGTTCAAAGGCCAAATCAGGCTTTATTTCTGGCATCCTGTGTAAGCTTTGGAAAATCATTTAATATTTTCATCTGTTTCCTACTGCAAAAGAACACTTAAATGACATAAAGGGAAGTACATTACAAATGAAAAAACTTTGATAGGCATGCTATAATCTACATAAGATAATCCTTTGACTGCTTTGTGGAATTTTTATGTAGAAAATGCTCACTAATCAAGCTTGGTTGATGATAGAACACTAAGGCTGGATGGGACCCCTGAAAGCCATTTAGCCAGACACCTTCTTTTTAGGTCATGACGATTGAGAGAAGTCATAGTCCATAAGATTTACAGACCATTAAAAGTCAAATGCACAGGAAAAATAAAGCATTTCTGTGACATCA